TTAATATTTACTTTTGAATTAAGAAATTGAGTAATGAAATAACTAAAATTTGAATTATAATCTACAGTTTGATACCAAACTTATTGACATAAATTCATGAAATAGTAGTTAAATAATATTTGGAATATGAGTCAACAAACGAGATGACATGGCTTTACGCCCATGACCCATCTCAAAAGAGTTAGTAAAACACTTCAGAATTCATATTCCTCATTGTGTTTCAGTTGACTGTTTATTAGAAATCAAATGATTTCTCAGAAATGTTTTAGCTAAAATATAGGTTTATGCTACTTTTTTACACTTTCATAGTTGAAGATATAGGAACATTACATTCATCTTCTGGTTAAGAATTGGTTTTCTTAGATTAATGGCAAGAGATTCTAGAATAGTTACTATTCTTCCAGGAAATGGAGGATGACATTGAGAAAATTGTAGGCAGGCAGAACACTGACTTTTTTTTATGCTGTAGTTGTTAATACTACTGGTATTGTAGGTTTTAGCATTACAGTATTATGTTATATGACTACAGAGTGTTTTAGTGATTGGTCCAATATATCTCTTGTTGCAACTCTGGCACATGAACACGTATACTACTAACAAGGTATTCAGTAGATGTTGCTTGTCTTTAAAGTTGAAGGGCTCTTTTAAGCTACACACATTTAATTTGTGGAGATGAGTGCACTCTAACTATGGCTTATGGTGTTTAGGGCTTCTAGACCATGTTACTGTGCTTGTCGGGATAGCTGTGAATGGAAAGGCTATAGGAGGAGTGATACATCAACCTTATTATAACTATCAGGTAAGAATAAAGGAAAGTTTCTGGTATGTGTCACTGTTGTTTTGCTGTCATATATTACTATTCCATTATTTCTTAATGTTCGTACTTATGTGCTTAATGTGTAATGAGTAGCATTATCAGTTATTAACTGCTATCACATATACTAGATGTCAGTTAATAATCAATCAAATTCCCAAAGTTTATAATATTACATGTAAAGATGGGCAATTAATGGTAGTTGTTAGTTGATTAATTGGTGTCTCCATTAATCAATTAATACAGTGTTCCTCAAACCATGGTATGTATAAGCAAAAAAAAAAGTTGGCACTTGTGCTGCCATATACTTGCTTTCACTCTAGTCAGTGGTTCAAAATTAATGTGGCAGATAGCCTTAGTAGCTGTCATTAAGAAAGACAAGGCCAACAAGCTTTGTGACAATACTTAATTACTTGAAACGTTGGAATAGTTAAAAAATAGTAGTAATTGGAAACCCTAATTTCAGTTAATCTATTTAATCATAATTTCAATTAATCAATTAGTTTTTGTAATGCTAACTGATGTAATCATTGCTCGTAGGTGATTGATTATATCAGATAATCAAATAAATTGTGTAGCTCTAATTACATGCACTTTCATGAAACACTGAAATTGATGGATGTATTATATGAAAAAACAAATATGATAAAGTAGAAGGCTCATTAAGGTTATTCATCACTCACTAAAACAAATTAAAGGAAATATAACCAACTCATTAGACAAAGCTTTATAAGAACCCTTGTTAACAGGACATACTTCTTTATTAAATGTTTGGTTCGAGCTCCTTTTTTGCTACCCTTTTTATTTTCTAGTCCTCTATGCCACCCAACAATGTGGTCTTGATGAGTCCACTGGACCTACTAACAGGAGTCTGGTATTTTCTCCAGTTACAAACTTATCTTCCCCACCCTAGAGTTTACTGGTCGAAAATGCAGACTTTGTTAACCTAGGCCCAATTCTGATCTGATATAATAGTGGTAAATATGACATAATCAGTATTGTATTATTGTTATTTGTTTTACTTTTGAAGTAAGAAAAAAGGCATGAAGTTATCAAATTTAAAGTAAATAGTGTTTATTTATGTTTGCATACACAATTTTCAGATATTAAGGGTATTGAAATTTATGTCAGAAGCTCTACTAAGTAGTATAACAGTAATGTCTTTTACTATATTAGGTATCAATCCTCTTGAACTTTGATTCACAAATAGTTAGCTATGAAATATGAGGTTAGAGTATACTATGGAGTGGGGGTGGTAATACTTGTCCTGTCATTTTTGATGGGCTATACGCTAGTCCCACTATAAGATCTGGTGATCCAGTAAATAGAACTGCTAGTGGTTCCACATTTACCTATATAGTAAACTTGAAGATCTTAGCTGTATATGAATGACTTCTAACTTTCATTGTTTGATCTAATACTATTACTACTAACATTCCAATAAAGATAAGTATGATGGCGGGACTGATTTTGTCAGACCTTAGTGTTTGAAAGTTGCATTTATCACTACTCTGTATCCTTCCATAAATATGTATGAGTAACATACCTTGGACAAGATGAAAGTTATTTATACTGTAATGTGCTTTATTAACTAAATTCATCCTATTTAGATAGCTGTATTCTTTTGGATTTTTGATTGCTAGAAATAAATTTGCTATTATTTTACTATATTTTAGGGTTATAGTTCTTTTATCTTATTATTAAATATCACCTACATTATAAGATGCATGTGTTAAGAATTTATTCATTTTAGTAGAAATTAAAACCTCAAAGAAAATGTATCCATAAATCCTGTAACAAGTTTCAAAATTTTAATTTGTTTATTTCCTTTCATGTGAATCAATTTTTATTTCACGCTTTTCAACCTAGGCTGATTATTTTAATATCTAGATTCACTGATAAAATATGACAAAACATAGGCAAAATGGCAATGATTAAATTGTAATTACATAAAAGTATGCATACAGAAGTTTACACATTTTACACAGTGTTCCAGAGCCCATGCTGCCATTAATCACAGTTCATTCTGATGGTCATAATTAAATACTATTGCCTTCATTATAACAAATTTCAGTAAAGAATGACAAGGTTAGTCATAGACCAGCTATTTTGATGGACTGTCCACTGTATGTGGACATTTACTTCTGAGACCACATTTAAGCAGACCAAAGGCACAAAGCATTTTTGGAGCTCCATGGGTGACTTAAGAGAAATGTGGTTAAATAGGAATGCTGTGATTGTGATTTCTCTGAACCATCTTTTTTCATGAAAACAGCCAACAATTTGAGGTGGTTGGAAGATTTTGAATTTTTGCCATTTGAATCTTCATTAATGCCAAATTTTTGTTATTGGTATTGCGAGATATACAGTGGTTTTATGGTCAGAGGATTTTCTTTTGTAACCCCATCCTTCACTTTGTGGATTAAGATATTGCCTTGTATTACTGACTTAAAGGCTCAGTTGAGTGAGTTGATCCAGTGAGAACATTAGTGGTTTCTGTTTCAAAGTTTTGTTTTTGGGTCTACTTAATTTAATAATCTTGTTCTGTGAACATAATTTTCTAAAAATTCCACATCATTCCAACCATACATCTAACCATTACAGCACTGAATGGTCAGAAAATCACCCTTAGCCAAATATTTGTGCTGAACATGTTACCTGTGGTGCCACAGCTCACGCACCACTGCATGAGCATAAACAAGTAACTTATATAAGCTGGAATTAATCCTCTATACTAAAAGATCACAAAGGTATCTTTTTTGTGTATTAATAGCAGATTGAGAATTATTTAAATTTAACAATTTTTAAATTGTTGTATCTCTGAATATAAAATATAAAAACTACAAGTATATTAAAAACCACATAAATAGGATTGAAACTTCTTTAACTTAGAATCAAGTTTCCTCTTTCTTTCTTTTTTACTAATTTCTTTCCAATTTTAAGGAAAATTTACTGCAAGCTATTATTACCTTCCTTTACCAAAGTTCAAAAAGTTGTAATGGTTGTACCTACATAGCAATTCTACCCACATACTTATAATTTTAGAAAAATATATGAAACCAGTGGATTCTAACATCTTTTAATTTTAATGTATTTTATAATTATGACTAATTCCATTGCTATGTACATACCAACTTTTTTTTTTAGTGAAGATATAAAATAAAAAAAAATTACACTTTAATAAAACTTTATGGACTCTGAAGTTTTGCTGTCTTTGACCACAGTGGTATAGTAAACAAATGTTTATTAAATTATTATTTACTTAAATTGATCAATCTACTTGTTGGGAGCTGCAATAGCAGGTTTGAATATAAGGTTACTAAAGATAGCTTACATGTGAAAAGTGATAAGTTTGTTTGCATTTTATTCAAGCGTACAAGGGAAAACTACCACGTAAGTGTCTTTCTTTTTGTTTTAAGATTTTACCTGGGCTTTGTTGTTAAAGAGTAACAAATTTCATTTATCTAGGATCTTGTAAGCCATGTTTCTTGAAAAAGAAATATAGCATACTAGTAGCTTCTTATTTTTAAATGTACCAACAAAATTTGTTATTATAGATATTGGAGTTATGAAAAGTCACATGTGGATTTTATTGAAAATAATAACCTTACAGTATTTTCTGAGATTATTTTCTGGAGTTGAAACTAAAACTAAGATGATATGCAAGATGTGTTACATGTACATGTATGCTTCCAAAACACTTCTAGCTTTTATTATTTCATGTCCCCTTGGGAAAAGTAATTATCATAAGCTAAATCTACATTTTGTAGCTTAAGATAATTCCTCAGTTTTATTTTCTATAGATCTGTAAATTGAATCCTGCTTGTACAAAAGATAGTAATAACTGTGCTCCTTATAATTAATCATCATTTTAAAACTTTGTCTTGTATATATATGAGCTGAGTTTTAAGTTAAACTACTTATGTCTGAATTTGCATTAGAAGCTAAAGAATCAATAAAACTGTAACCACAGCCCTGGAAACACTGGATGATACCTTCATCATCTAGCTATACAAAGACAACACCATTGATAATTTTCTCAACCTTGTAACTTCCAAAATATAAATAAATATTCAATTTATTGTCCGGACTGAATTAGATTACCACTCTTAAACATCCTATTACATTGCCATGAACGACATCTTTCCACAAAGTTCATAAGAAATTAACCCATATTGTTCAGTACCTGTCAATTACCATTCTTAAGAATCCTAATACATTACCATGAACATCTTTCCTCAAACTTCATTAGAAACTTACCAATATTTTTCAGATCCAATCATCTGCCATTATATTAAAACATAAAATTTACAAATGGGAGCATAGAAAATGTCCAATACCCAGGGTATAAAATAAGAAATGTGTTACCAATAAACTTTTCAAGCTAATAATTACTCCAAAAGGTCCATTTAAACAGTTACTAGAACCTGATATGTTGTCACTGATGCCCTCAGAAGAACCTTTAATTACTGTTTCCCTACTATTTGCACTTAATCTAAGCTACAAACAGAATAATTTGCAAGAAATTTAAAATTAGAGTTGTTTCACATCTGGCAAAATCTTAGAAGTATTGTGACATGAACAAGCCAACCTAGAAATCGTAATAAATAAAAAAACTTGTAATTTATGGTGCCTCCTCTAGCTATACAGTGTAGTGAAATTTATATTAGAGATACAGGAAGAACAATGAGTTGGATACTATAATAAAGAACATGCAACAAGACTTCTAGACCAGAAATATCAACCATAATTGAACAACAACATGGGACTTGTTTGAAGTACACAATTGTAGATACTGTTTAATACCAGGAAAGTTAAAGAAGCTCTCAGAATAAAGATGAATAAAACAACAGACAAATGAGATCAAGGCATAGAAAAAAAAAACAGTACGTAGAACTACATTCTGTAGAAAGTTGATAAAAGATATACTTACATAATTTAAGGACAACATGAGACCTACTGGTCCATCTCACCCACTATACTAAACTCTAAAATAAAATACTTAAGTTCAGCACTTATAATTCAAATACTTATTAAGAATTCCCTTAAACTCTTGTGCATTAACTGCATCTACACATGATTAAGCCAACCACCCTGTTAGAAAAGTAAAGCTGTCTTAGCTGAATATGACTCCTACCCTGCCAGAATTTTTATGAAAAGAGATGATGCATCAATACTATCAGTTACATTAATATTCATAAACACCTTTATCAGTTCTCTCTAACTTTTCTTTTTTTTATAAGAAAAAATTTCAGAAATCTTAACCTGTCCTCATATATTAATCTTCCATCCCAAGTAACTTCTTCTAAACCCTTTCCAACAATTCAATGCCCTTTCTAAGGTAAGGGGCCCAAGACTGAACACACTGTTCCAAATGTGGTCTAACCAATGACCTATACAATATTATAACCCCTTTAGACTTGTTTTTAGTATATCTGTAAATTAATCATAAAATCCTATTTGCCATACCACTAGTATCATTACATTGGCTTAAGACTGATGAACCAAAACACCAAGATCCTTTTTTTTTCTATAGCTTTGTTAGAGTTATTCCCATCACAATTATACTTGTAATTCAAATTGTGATATTTCACATGCCGTATCATGCATGTATTATAAATAAAAGCCATGTGTCATTTATTTACCCAACTCACCAAATAATCAAAATCCTTTTATAAAGCAGTAGCATCCTCCTCATAGCCAGCAACACCCCAACACTTTAATATCATCAGCAAATTGTAATAATTTATTGACCTTTCCTTCATTCATGTCACTGGTGTACTCGATTGTATAGTATATAAAAGATGCACCCATATTTCAGCAAAGAACATTTAGGAAAAATACATTTTTTAACTTCACATATTAGGTGCAGGAGGATTTTCAGAGGCTTTTTTTTTCAGAGGGAAAAATGTTTTATATGGCATAATATATGGTAAATCAAAAAGAACAAAGATCCTAACACTGTGCCCTGAGGTACCCCAATTCTGACATTAATCCAGTTTGACTGAACTTCATTAATAACAACCCTCTGCTTTCTTCCATCTAGCCACTTTTCTATCCAATGAGCAAATCTATTGTTACCAGTGTCACATTTTGTTACATCTCTGGTCATTTGTTAATTTTCCGTAGAAATTCCTACCGAAGAACTTCAGCGATACAAGTCCTTTCTTAAATAAAACTAGTTCATTTTTTCTCAGTTCAACTTTGCAATACACTTAATTTCCACAGTCACTTTAACTTAAACACACACACTATAATTCACAACGATTCACACGCTTTACTTGTGGTGCCTACCGCCCGCTTGACTCAACTATACGTGTCTATATCTTCAATCTCTCTATCTGTGATTCCAATTCCGATTAATTCTCTCGCTTTATTTGCTGTGCTTATATACAATAAAAGCGCACATCTAGATTGCACTCACCTCTTCGTGAATTTTCTAGATACACATCACTATCTTCCACACCTGCAGTTATAACTTTTTTCCTCATGATGACTAATCCAAACTAGTTTGGCATCAATCAGTAATTTTGTAAGCCAAGAATTTTTACACCTGGATGACTGGCCCAGTTGGCAACCATATAGAACAAACATGTTTTTGCGATGTGGATTTAAATTTGTGACACTCAGATTGTGAGTCAAGTTCCCTAACTACCCGGTCATGCCTTGAACAAGCCTTTTATGTGGCACCTTGTCAAATACTTTCTCAAAATTCAGATATACCAAATACACTCCTGTACCCTCATATAAATAAAGAGTAACCTCTTTAAAAAAATGTCAAAAGATTACCAAGGCAAGATTTTCCCCCTATTGAAACCATCATGACTATCCATCAAAATTTTGAATATTATTAAAAGACCTAGCAAAGCATCTTTCATGAGACTTTCAAAAACCTTCCCATCGATGATATAAGACTAATGTGGCTATAATTACTTAGACATTTTTTGCACCTGCCCACTATTCAAGGAATTAGAAAAAATAGTAACAAGTGGCTTGCATATCCAATCCTTCACCTGTTTCAAAACCCTTTTGTGAATATTATCTGGCCTTGGAGCTTTATCTTTCTTTAAACTTTCCATTTTTTCTTTCCTGAACAAATTCAGAATTAATGTAATCATCTTGTTCAATATTGCTTAAACCTTCATTAGCAGAAATTGAAGGAAAAAAGAAGTTAATAACCCAGCTATCCCATAATCATCAAATACTACCCTTTCTGTATCATGTTTCATAGGCCCTACTACCATCCAAATATATTGCTTACCCTTGATATATTTAAAGAAATCCTGACTATTAATTTTTTCATAGTTTTTTATTTCCCAATTTCCAGTTTGACCATTTCTCTTGATTATTCTATAATCTTCAAAATTTCCCATCATTGCAGTCAATTTAAAATTTTTAAATTTATTATGCTTTTCTTTAATTTTATCCTTTATACCCTTTTGTCAGCCAACCTGTTTTTTTTCTTACTTACAGCCACTCCTTTTTTTCTGTAAGGAACATATTTCTATTGAATAATCATAAATTTGTTTTTAAAATCTTTCCACATTTAATGAGTATCTCCAGTTAATTCAGTTTCCCAATTTACATAAGATAATTTTGAAATTTGGAACCAAAATATTATTATTCCTTATCTCCATATGCAGTAAAACATAAAATATAATTGAGCAGTGATCACTTGCACTCAGATGTTCCCTAATCTCCATCCTGTCAACCATTTCTATATTAGATGTTAACAATATATCTAAAATAGTATTATTCCTAGTAAGTTCTCCAATCAATTAGCAAAGAAAAATCATATTGAACAGTTTTTAAAAACTTGTCTACCTCGTGATTTGACTCTTACATTTTCCAATCTATATGTCTGAAATTAAAATCTCCCTGAATTATAACTTCATTAACAGCTGGATCTTTTATCTCACTATAGAGTTTCTTATTAACTTCATAATTTTCATCTGGTGGTCTGTAACAAATTTCAACTAAAAGCCTTCTCCCCTTATAACCATTAACAGAAACTCAAACAGGTTCAACCTCATTGCTGTTAGCTTTGATATCTTCAACTTCAAAAGGCTGTAACTCACATTTTACATAAAGGCCTCTCCTCCTCCTCTTGTTAGTACTCTATCCCTATTAAACAATCCATAACACTGTATTTCAAAGAAATTTCTGTCATCAAGAATACCTATCTTTAACCAGGTTTCAGTTATTTCAATTATCTCAAAATCCTCTGTTCTGACCAGTGTTCCAAAATCATCCGTTTTATTTCTTATATTGCTAGCATTACTGTAATTACAGTTTAGCCTACCATTAAAACTACTTTTGTACTTTGTTCCTACACTATACAATTCTCTAAATCTTACTCTTCTTTATTATTCTGGTCCTCACCACTGACTAGTACTGCTTTAAAGCTGCCCTTATAGTTGAGTTAATAGCCCTTACAAACAAGCTTGCCTCTACTCTATTTAAATATAAATCATCCTTTCCTTTATTTATCAACTCTGGAATGGATTCTTATAATCTTGAATATATTTTCTAAATATTTATCCACTTGAACTTCCTTATATAAGTGAATTTTGAACTGCAAAAATATTTTTACAGGTGCACAGTTTGTGATCAAATGCATACTATGAAAAACCCTGAATAATACCTTGTTGAATAGAACTGTGTAAAAGGTTGTGGCATGTGCACTTTGACCCCTACTCTGCACAAAGGGTTAAAGCAAATACAAAATGGTATTACATTGTACAAGTTGTTTGCTTTTCTTTTGTATTTTCTGTAATAATTATACTAATGATAAATTGATCATTTAATTGCATTGCAATCGCTTGTTTTTTATGACTACTCCTGTATGTGTGTAGAGCTTGTGCATTTCCATGTTTAGTTCCAATACTCTATATAAGTATATGTATTTTATTTTTATCATTTATGATGATTTTTTGAATTTTTAATTTGTATATGGATTCAAGTCTAACCTAAATCTTATAAGATGGGCTAAGCCTCATGAGTTGTTATTGGAATTACATCCTAAAAATATTGATAACAGTAGGGAGATAGACACCCAACTGATGAATTAATGCCATCTAATTACCATATATTTTATTATCTGCATTATTGTATAACTTAATTACTGTTTTTGGCCTATGTAGGTAGATATGCTTTGATCAAAGCTTTTGATGGTAATAGCATTAGTCAGTTAAAATTTAAATAACCCTCTTATAATGAAATTTCTGTCATTAACACAATTACATTATGTTTATAAGCTTTCTTAAAAGACTGCTTTTTTAGAACGAAAGATCTTAACATTGGTAAGACCTTCACAGTCATTCTTATGAGGAAGATAATCTAGTCAATATAATAAATATTTACATTCATCAGGTTGAAAAAGATGTCTACAAACAAGGGCGTACATTATGGGGAATGAATGGTATAGGAGTTTTTGGAATAGAAAAAAAGGCTCCATGTGAGGGGAAACGCATAATAACCACAACACGTTCACATTCAAACAAGAATGTTAACTTAACCATTGATGCTATGAAGCCTGATGAAGTTTTGCGTGTTGGAGGAGCTGGTCACAAGGCAAGAAAGGATTTCATTTGATTTCAGAAAATAATTAAAAAATTGTCTAATACAAACAGCAAGTTTCTAAAATAATATATATGTAACATTTAAAAGTAGTCTTACTAATATTTCAATATTAGCATTAAAAGTTACTAAGTTTAGATTGAACAAAAGTTTATCTTCTTTTCATGCTTTATCTAAAATCAAAGATTTATTTAGTTTTGAGAGAGTAATGCAAATAATTTCAATGATTAAATGTGGTGGACCAACTGTTCCCAGCCAATAACTTTCTTTTTTTTTTGCCACTCAGAGTAGTCCAGGTTCATCCTTCTACTAAATTGGTAGTTCAGTTAGTTGGGCTATCATCTAGGTGTTTTTGGTAATCAAAACTAGTAACCACTTGTTTATGAAAGAAGTACTTTATTGTACATTTGGTGGGAGGCTAATTACTATTTAGTAAAATAAAACTGCATAATAAACAACCTTTGTTATTTTAATATATCTTAGTTAGCAGAAAATATTTTTATAATAAAAAGATTTAAATAATTTTAATTCATTCTAGTGTTAACTGTCTTAACAGTAAAGTACAATGTATTAAACCATTAAACAAGGAAATATTTTTGAAGTGGTTTATCAAGTTTCATCTTTAGAAACTCTACATTACAAACCAATCAACAAAGATAAAGCTTTGGATATTTCTTTATTCAGTCATGCTTTAGATAGTTCTTTGTACAACTAAGTCTTACCATTTATGAAGAAGTTATTATTTTAGTTTTCACAATTTTTTAATAATTTACCTGCATATAAACTGATAAGAATTGTGATCTTTATTGTTTATTATATAAGTAAACTGAATTGAAATATGTTTTAAAGGGAGAAATTTATATCATTGTACATTGGAAAGGCTTAATTACTCCTTGTTTCAGTATACAATAAAACTACATGATAAACTGCCTTTGTTGTTTATGTCATTTTAATGTATCTTCGTTAGCATATGCAAGTTTTTGTAATAAAAAGATATAGATTATTCCCTGTTTTCTTAGGTTCTTCTACTTATTGAAGGAAGGGCTCATGCCTATGTTTTTGCCAGCAAAGGGTGCAAGAAGTGGGATACTTGTGCTCCTGAAGCTCTTCTGCATATTCTAGGTGGGAAACTGACAGATATGCATGGGAATAGTTTGGAATATCACAAAGACATACAGTATTTAAACTCTGGTGGGGTTCTAGCCACTTATGATGCTGCTGTTCATGAATGGTATAGAGAAAGAGTTCCAGAGGAAGTTAAGAAGACATTACCCCCTTGACTAGTTTCTAATTTATAAAGTTATCTCTTTTTGAAAGAGAAAAATTAACAGGTGATAGAATCAGCCTCAAAACTATTTGTATGTCAATTGCAAATACAAATTTGTGTTTAACAGGATTATAATAATTTAAATTGTGATAAAATAGTTAAGTTTTAAAATTGAAAATTTGTTTTAATTAAACTTATCAATATAAATATTTGATGAAGCTTAAATTTACCTGTAGGGAAAGACATGCAAGGTTAATAAACAAAACTGATGTTGACAATATCTGAATTGCTTGTGATGAAGGTAACTTTCAGTTTAATAACCAGTGTTTCAGAGATAAATTGTATTTTTTGGCTGCTATATAATACCTGGAGTAGCAATTTATTAAAATGGATGATCTGGTAATTAGACTACACAACTCTCCATTTCCCATTTACAAACCAGGTTGTTCATTTTAATAACACTCACTTACATGCAACCTACCAACTGTTTTGTAAGTAATATTTTTCTGGGATTAATCCATAGAAAATCAATAGTTTTTGCTTAAAATAGGTATGAACTGTATTCCTGAAAGATATCCTGCACTGAAGTTAAAAATATTCCTTCCAATTTTTGTTACTCTTACAAAAAATATTATACAGCAAAGTCATCATAATAATTATTTGAAGATTAGAAAATATTTGATTCGACAAAATAATTGAATAACAGTAAGGGCACCAAACTGATGAAACATTTTAATCTTTATAAGTAAGAACAAAATAAAAGTATATTTCATTAGCTATATTCAGTACTGAGTTGATATTTAGTTTTGATGTAAGGTGGTAGCTTGTTCTGATTGGAAATTAATATTAAATACATTTCTCTGTACTGCATCATTGTCATTTTAGATGGAGAACCGTAGCTGGTAAACTTATGTCATTCAGTAGTAATATATGTGTAATATCATTAACTTTTCTTTCAGATATGCCTATTGGGCCAGTAAAGAACAATGTATTATAAATTTTCTTGTGGTGTAATATCACACCTACATAACACTACTGAATGTCATCACTCTACCAGTTAAGGAGTTTTACATCCTAAGATTTGTCTTATAAATGACTGATGTAAAAAGTGTTTCAACTTATACTTGTATGTTATATCTCTCATCCAGTCTGATGAATGCTGGTATTGAGCACAAGAGTGGTTGATGTGCTCTTTAAAAACTTTTATTTGTAAACCCATATTAAACTAGTAAAGAACAATGTGAATAGATTATCAGTTTCTTACTGTGATGAAACCAAGCATGGCCCAGTAGTTAACATGCTGGACTATGTAGCTGTGGTTCCATGGTCTGCATTCTGTCACTGTACTCTGTGGCCATAGGTATCTTATAAGAGTCACAGTCAAAGTAATGCTATTTGGTCTGACAAGAGCAGACCAAGAGTTTGTTATGGGTGGTGCTAATCTATCACCTCAAAGTTAGGGATGACTAGCAAAGATGGCCCTCATTTAGCTTTGTGTGAAATTCAGCAAAGTGTGATGAAATATGACATACTTATTTTACTGTTATACAGTCATTAGTTTCATTGATTTATTAACTTTTTTCTGATTTGTTTATTGTATGTTATGCATGTATAACCAAGAACTCATTTATGGTAATAGTATTTTAAAATAGTTGAGAACTGACAAACATCTATGTTAGCCAACATAGTTTTTAACACCATTGAAATATAATTTCTCATTATCATGAATAGAAATACCATACTGTAAGCATCAACCATTACTTCAAAAAAAAAAAAGCACAAGATTATAACATATATTTACCATGACCAAAATAACCTTTTTATTAATTAAAGGTTTTAGAAGTATTTGCTTTGTGGAATATTAATAACAGGATTTGATTTTTTAGATTGATCAGAGGTACTGAATGTTTTAAGAAAGTTCAAATTTGAAAGCATATTGAAGTAACAGTAGTTATAGTCTGCATTTTAGTTCAGAATTCCTTTAGAAAGAAAGTTGCTGTAATATCAAATGTAGTTACTTATCTTAAAATATCTTGTATCTTCAAGGTAATCAGTTTTGTTTGCACTGGAAATGTTTGCATAGCATTCATTGTATCTTGGTTGCAATAGTATCTTTGGTGATGGGAAATAAATTCGAATTTACTTCCATTTTGTGTGTAGATTGAGTATTTTATTTTTTTATTTTTGTTCTCATTGCTAATCAGAGGAGGGTTGCAATGGAAATGTAAAATTAATTTTTTTTAATATAATATTTTGAGATGCAGAATTCTGATTCCCTACAGTTAATATTTAAACTCCTGAATTTCACTTACAACTTTAAAATTTTATGCAGCTTCCCTTCTAAACCATCAGCATAATTCAAGTTGTATAACTTCTGTCTGCCAATGATCAGCCCTGGTAAATCCTCAATCCCTCTCAGGATTTTCTCACTGTACAAGTTAAACAAGTCAGGTGAAAAGACACAGCTTTACCTCATGCCTCTTTTAATTTTGATGTAATCATTTAATTCATTTTCTATATTCACTGCTACAGATTGGTTCCAATAGAGGTTTTTAAAATTCTAAAGTCTTTATCATTAATGTCAAGTTCTTCCAGCATCTTCATTGAATCCACATGCTTGACTCTATCAAAAGCTTTGGTATAATAAATAAAACACAAAAGAAGTTCTTTTTTCATTTCTATATCTCTCTCTGATAGCATTTGTACCATGAAGATAGCATTTCTTGTACCATGATCTTCAATAAAACCTCATTAATTATTTGCGATCTTCAGTCTTATTTTAACTTCTAGCTCTTATCATCGATACTCTTAATAGGGTCTTTGTCACATGGCTCATGAAACTCATGGTTTGATGGTGCTCACATTCAATGGTTCCAGGTCTTTAGGGGAGCACATGACATAAAAACTGATTTACTGACATTCTCGTGTATTTTTCCAGTTTCATAAATCTCATTGATAATAGTTGTTAGCTTTTCTATACCAAATACTTCCAAACATTTTATTTGTTCTACTGTAATTTCATCTGGTCCTGCAGCTTTATTGGTTTTCATTCTGTTGATAACTGTTTGTACTTTTGTTAAGAATTTTCAATCATTCCATGTTCTTCTTAATAGATGGTTTTTCGTAATGACTGTCATGGAATAAATCTTCAGTATATTTTGTCCGTCTTTTCAATACTTGTTTCTGTTCCATAATTACATCACCATTCTTAGATTTTATAAATCCACTAACAATGCATCCTCCTTTACCTGTGATGTCTTTGATATTCCTATACATTGATTTAACATCTTTATCCTTTTGTTTTCTATTTCTATATGTCATCATTAAGCCATTTTTCTTTCATTGAACATTGATTAAATTCTTTTGTCAAGTTTCTTATACTCTTTGTACTATGGGTTTTCATCTTCCACGTATACCTTCATCTCAGGTGGTGCTCAAACCATCTGTTTGTAATGACTTGATAATATGCAACACACCAATAAATCCATTTCTTTCCTCTTACATTTTTCTTTTCAAGTCAATGTGGTCCAACAATATTTTCCACTCACAATCAACTTTTACATCTAGATCTCCCATAACTATGACCACTTATTGATGTTTGCATTGCTTTTTTGGTTTACCAAGGTTGGCATTGAAATGATCATTGTCCTCTTCCTCATTTTCAACTGTCAATGCATAGATATTGCCCAAATTCTATGCAAACACTTTGAGGTTTCTTCATCCAAAATCAACAACTCCTCTTTTGTGCATCTGTCCTACTAAATAAATGATTTTCATATTTTCTGAAACAATAGGTCCACCATCTTTCCAATGTGTTTTATACTGACTCAGAATATTAATCTTTAATTTCTTCATTTCATGTTTGACATTAAACTGTTTTTCCAATTTTGTGTAGAGTCCTCACGTTGTCACTTTGACTGCTCTCTTCTGGGTGCAGACATTAGCATACTAACAATCAGGAGTAACCTATCACAGATGACTTTCCTTACTAAGCGAGGTGTTCTCCCCACTTCTATCAGGGAACCCCTTCATGCCATTGTTTGTTTGTTTTATTTGTGAAATACCACAGATTATGCTTGGCAAAATTCTGCAGTAGGTTGCCAACTCTTCCTGCAGGTTGCAGTGCTCAAATAACTTGACCAGGTCTCTATTGTTGTCCCAATTGCACCAGGCATCCACCAGACAAAATGATGCACCTGTAATGGCTTCAACTGTAACCCTGGTAAGGGAGGTTACTGGGTGCTACACCTTGCCTAAGGGCAACCCAGAGACTGCAGTAGCTAGAGAGTACTTATCTCACTGCTACTCTGACAGTTGACTGTCCTACTGCTGGATGCAGTTTAACGTCATAACCAGGACTATCTCCACACAGTAGGACTATATTAAACTGTTCTTTATCTAAATACAGTCATTATTTACATGGGCTGGGATCAGATGCAGCACTATACTTGTGTGATACTGTATATATATATAAGGGTTTTTGTATTTTCATATTTTTAAACCTTTTTTTTGCACTCTTCCTTGTTGCAATGACCAGGTTATGCAAAATTCTGACCTTGAACTTCAAAGTTGGGTTTGTGTAAAACAACAATATTGACCATAGTTAGAGTTCAATCTTCTCTGACATAACTCCATATACATGAAAGGGGTGCATTTTATGCCTATAATTTTGTTATTGAAGATCTATTTATGTAATTTTTGGTTTAAAGTTTTTCATTTATTATTATTATCTACAACTATTCAGTTGACATTTTGGGAGTACAATGCATATTAATAAAATTTCTAAAGCACGTGAATCTGAAGGTGATCTTAATGGTGCCTTCACAGATTGACTCACAGCAGAATGCAGTTAAAGTTACGTGCTGCAGTCTATTTGTGAGTGGAGCAAATCAGACCTAACCTGCAATATCTAAGGGTATGGCAAAAGAGGATCTGGGCAATTTTCTGATGTGTTTTGGGGATTAAACTGCATATAATAGATGGTCTGTATTACACATGTGGTGGATCTGATCTTGAGCTTGGATGGTCAGAGCACTTGAGCAAGATGCAACTTTGGAACTGGAATACAGTTATTGCTGAGTTGTGCACAGTGAGCAAAGCCAGTTGACAACGATTATTTTCTGGACATAAATGTAGAGAAAATTCTCTGATTATGCCTAGAAAGCATGGCTCACAGAATAAAAGTAGTCATCTCTGACCTATTGGCGCCCTTGAGGTTCACATAATGCATAAAATATCAGTCATCTTCATCTGTGCAACTGGTGAGCTGATACAGGAACTGTTTCATGCTGATTAGACCAGACACAGAAACAGTGGACTGTTACTGGCAGAGAGAATTGCGGTATCTCCATCTACACAATTGGTGTTTCCATGGTTACTATATATAATGTCTAATGTGTCGGTGCTGTGTAAGGCAGTAATAGAGACCATGCATGAAATTCATTGTTTCCTGTCTAGCATTATAAGCATTAGCTTGCTTAGTTAAGTCCCTTATGTTGTTCCACAATTACAAATGATTAATTATGCAGCTTCCCACTGGAATGGTTGTCAGCACAGTAAAAGTAACAGTATCACCATAGTTACTTCTGTCTCATTCTGGACTAAATGCAGTTGCATCAGTTCAGTGATTTGTTGGTTGAATATACTAGTGTATTATTGCAACCAGATTGGTGATTGGGTTTACCAAAAATAACTTGTCATTACGTAGATACAGGCAATGCATATGTGATTAAATAACCACGTGCATGTTTTCTTGGAGCATTAGTGAAGTAGTCAGTACTGATGTCAAAGGACAGGATCATTCAGCTTTCAGAGAGTGCTTGGTCTTCTTTGGTAGTGATTATCAGAAAGGAAGCACAAATAAGTTTTCTCTTGATTTTAGATGGGAAAATGTGGTAACTTACATTGATGCTTTTCCCTCCCATAGAAATAAGAGTATCTAGATGAACTGGAGGACGCCAGTTGGTTTAACACCTTAGAGCTGGTTCTGGATACTAGTAAGTTGAACTGGATAATGAGAGCAGACTTAAAACTCCATTTAGCATGAGGCAGCTTGTAAGAGCTTTATGTCATGCCATTCAGACTGCACTTCCAAGAGGATAATTGAGCTTACTGTAAACAGGGTACAGTGGGAGATATGTCTGATCTATGTGAGCAGCATCTTAGTGTTTGGTTGCACATTCAAGTCTGTGGCTGAGAACCTAAAAATAGTATTCCAATTAATTATAAAACATGTTCTAAACTGAAACCATGAAAATGTACGCAGAAGTAGGATTTTTGGTCATATTTTGGATAGAGATAGTCTCCACTGACCCTGCTAAAATTGCAGTGGTGCAAGAGTGGCCTCAACTTGTGACCAAGCGAGAAATCCACAGTTTCCTTGGTTTTGCATTTATTACTTATGATTTGTGGCCAACTTCTCATTAAGGTCAAGATGTACTTTAGATGGATAGAGGAATGTAAGCAAGCATTCCTGTAACTGAAGCATGCTTTAGTGAAAGCCCCAGTGATAGTGGGTCCAGGAAAGGAGTGAAAGTTTTTGTTGGATAACAATGCCAGCAATAATGAAGTTATAGCAATGCTATGACACTTGTACAATGGAGTAGAACATGTAATCATATATGCTAGTCTTTTGTTTATATCTCTTGAATGCAGATACTGCCTGATTAAGAAAAAACTGCTTCAAGTTGTGGTCTTTGTGAAACCTAATTAAACTACTTGTATGATAGAAAGTGCACCATTAGGGTGGACAAATGCATTGCTGAAGTGACTAATTGCATGTTGAATAAAGAACTGCGGGAATACGACTTGTCATATTGCATCATCTAGGGCTACAACACAGAAATGCCTACAAAGTCTTGACACAGGGTAAAACTCTGTTTGTTCATTGAATATCCAGTTCCTGGACACCATGTCGGAGCTGGAGCCATTTCTTCCATAACAACATCAAGCTCTGAGAATAGCAACTGAAGGACCAAGATCTAGCATGGGTGCAACTTGCCATACAGCAAGGTGAAGCTCGGCTAGTATAGATTCAGAATGTATTATAGATGTATGAGCAATTATATGCACAGGAAGGAGTGCTGTACCATAGTTATCAACCAAAGACACAAGATTCTTAACCTGTGTTACAGCTTAGTGGTACCTAG